GGGGGGGGTGGGGTGGGAATCTCCTGCTGCCCAGGGAACCGCCCCCGGGCTGCCCCTGGGTCCTAAACACCCTGCTCCCAAGCGCACAGAGATGACCCCCTCGAGGCCTCTCTCTCTCTCCAAAAGTGCCCACCCCAGGGCCCCGCCCCATGAGGGCCAGTCTGAAGACAGTCCAGGGTCTGCCCCGGCGCTGCGGCTCCCGATGTCTCCACTGGTCAAGGGAACGGGCCAAGGGCTGGAGAGGGGTGTCTGAGGGCAGTCCTTACTGGCAGTAAGGACCCGTAAGGACCAGTGAGGACCCAGCAAGGACCCCTGACAGTGGGCCTAAGAGGGATATGAGGACTGAACGCCAGACAGCGAGTAGGACGCGGCTGTCCTGGCGGCCACCTGCTCGCGCAGGGTGTGCAAGCCGCGCTCCAGCAGGGGGCGCAAGAAGACCGGGAGCGGACTCGGCGCGCCGCTTGGGAACTTCGTACCCAAGCCCACCTTAGCAGCGTCCAGTGGAGCAGAGGATAGGGGGGAGGGATAGAGAAAGAGGGAACTTCGGTCACTGTGAGAGAGCCGGGGAAAGGGGCACTAGGGTTCCCGATGTTGGGGCAGCAACAGAGGAGCACAAAGGTATAGGACGCTCCGGGGCTGGGAGCGCGTCGGGCGCCGGCGAGCCCTTGGGGTGTCTATTGAGCATTAGCTCTCGGGGCTCTGGGCGGATTGGATCGCGGGAAGCCAGGGCGTGGTGGGCGCTGGGGTAGGGTGCCCTCTGGGTGCCGCAGTGCGGGGCCGCGCCCGAGCCTGGCCGCGCTAGGTGACGGGGCGGCGAGGGAGGGGGCGCCTCTTAACGGGTAAATATAAATCTCACCTTATCTGGCTCCCGCCCGCTCTTCCCTAAATTCAGCTCGGAGAAAAGATGGATCATGTGAGTGGGACTGAGAGGTTTATGGAGCTGGGCTCCCGCGGCTGTAAATCACCCTGCCCTCCCCGGTATAAAGCGCCTGTCCAGCCCGGCGTGGGAGAGAGGAGACGCTTGCCGCCCTCTGACCTCCAGCTCAGCGCGGGCTCCCGGCCTAGTCAGGTGGGTGCCCCGGGCCAGACGGCGGACAGGTCGGGGTATTGGGGACCTTGGACGGGGTCCGACGGGGCTGCCGCCGCTTCTCCTATTCTCCCGTCGGGGGCAAGACCCGCATGGTGGCTTTTCTCTTCCCTTTCAGCGCTTCCTCCACCCCCCGCAGCCCCCTCCCTCCGAGTTAGGAACTCCCCGTCCCCAAATCTAGGGAGAAGACCCCGAAGGCTGACCTGGGGTCCTGTCCACTCCTCCTCCACAGTGACCTCACCAACCTCCTCCAGTCGCCACTGCCATGTCCGAGGAGCCGGCCACGGGCCCCCAGAAGAGCCCGCCGGCGCCGCGGGCAGGGCCCCGCGAGGTGTGGAAGAAGGGCGGCCGCCTGCTGTCGGTGCTGCTGGCCGTGAACGTGCTGCTCCTCGCCTGCACGCTCATCAGCGGCGGCGCCTTCAACAAGGTGGCGGTGTATGACACCGACGTGTTCGCGCTGCTCACCACCATGATGCTGCTGGCCATGCTCTGGATTCTCTTCTATGTCTTCCGCACCGTGCGCTGCCCCGACGCCGTCCCCTACCGGGACGCGCACGCCGGCCCCATCTGGCTCCGAGGTGCCCGGGGAGGTGGGGGCGGAGGTGGGGTGAACCAGGCAGGGAGCTGGAGGCTGGAACTCTTAGATGATTGAATTGCTAAGTGCAAGTCAAAGTAGAGAGGTGAGAAGTCGCCTACCACCCCACCCGACTCCGGAGGACTATGTGGCTGAGGGTGAGGTGGGCTGCAGTTGGAGAAGAGGAAGGGAGAGAGTTTTGGAGGAGGGATAAAGAGAGGGATGGAGGGGAACTTCTTTGCCCTGTCTAAAGACTGAAAAAGGGTGGTATGAGAGAGCCTTTGATGGAGAGCTGAAAACAGATGACAGCCAGGCTGAAAAAGCCCATCTAGGGCCCTTCCCTTGATCTGTTCAGCCCCAAAGAGATGGGGGCTCAATAGGACATCCATTCATCCACCCACTCAATCATATACTCCTCTTTTCATCCACCAATTCATCTTTCAATCCATCCATTCACCCATCCACCTATCCATCCATCCGCCTATCCATTCATCCATCATCCACCTATCCATCCATCCATCCATCGGTCCACTCATCCTCCCACCTACCCCATTCATCCATCCATCCGCCATCCACCCATCTAGCCATCCATTCTCAGATCTATAGGCCTCCTCCTGTCTCTCTGATTCACCCCGCAACCCTCATTCCCAGGTGGGCTGGTGCTGTTTGGGATCTGCACTCTCATCATGGATGTCTTCAAGACCGGCTACTACTCTAGTTTCTTTGAGTGCCAGTCGGCCATCAAGATCCTCCACCCTCTCATCCAGGCTGTGTTTGTCATCATCCAGGTGGGTGGGAAGAGTGTCCTTGAGTGCTTTGGAAAGGTGGCAACAGCTGGCATGGACTCAGGAGACCTGAGCTCCCCTCCTCTTCTACCCCAAGCAAACAAACAAAGTGGGGATAGGACTATAGTGTCGATCATGTGAGTCCATAAATCTGGAAGCACTTGGTAATAAAGTAATATCCAAATGAGAGCTCCCACTTAGCGGCCCTGCGATTTCATTTCAACCTTAGCAGTGCCAGTAGTTAACACCTAGGAGGTGTGAGTTGTGTGTCTGCCCTGTCTCCTAGAACCTGGCCTGCCCTCCCTGGGCGCCAGGGCATTAGAGGGCATTAGTCTCAGCCCCAGACATGGCTGTGGGCACAGCCAGTTTGGCCTCACCCATGGCCCCTATGTATTTGTTCAGGACATAGGGTATCCAGTACCTGGGATTTTTCAAACAAGTTCAAATATGTTTTTTTTCCATCTGTTGCATAAATAACACTGAAAGATCCTCTGATGGAGCTGAGGCAGGACTGATCTTACATAGGACCGGGACAGACCCCAGCCCTGTATCATGACCAGAATGACCACATGTATAGTTCCCTCTCCTGAGATATCACCCCGCTGCCAGGTTTCCACAACTCAACACATCTATGACTTTGGTTTTAATCTCAAATTTTATGGGTTTGAAGACTACTCAGGCAAAATGAAAATATAAATATTCCCACATCAACAAATATCATAGCAAGGATTTGTTGGTGGCCAGATGAGAGTGAGTCCTTGCAGGGCAGCAGAGGATGAAGATGTTGCCAAAGAGAGGTGAGGAGTCACCAGAGATTATTTCTACCTTGGACAAGACCTAGCCTGAGGCTGGCCATGCTCCCAGGAACAAATAACTAGGCAATCAAAACTCTACTTGACTGCCACTCCACAAAAAACAAAAAGCACCAAGACCAGAGAGTTTACAGGTGACACTTTGCCGACTTTTAGAAAACAGAGTACTATTTTATACGAATTATTCCATAGAATAGAAAGAGAGAAAACTTGCCATTTCATTTTGTAAAGCTCAGATAACCTTGATAATTTAGTATGAGGAGTCTTGAGTTAGAACACAATGCCGGGCATGGACATGGGCCCTCCGGAGTTTCGCCTGTCTGCAGAGTAAGTGACCTCACCATTGTCTCTCAACACAGACTTACTTTCTCTGGGTCTCCGCTAAAGACTGTATTCACATCCACCTGGATCTGACCCGGTGAGTGCCTGTTCCACAGCTCCATGTCCGTGATGCCACTGCTCACCCTGCACGAGAGATGAGGGCAGGGGTCCTCTTTTTGCCCTCTGGGTGAGGTTTCAGCCAAGACCCCCTTGTTTTGTCAACCTGATTTCCACCACCCCGTGCTGTGTGTGTGTTGTGTGTGTGCCCACATACACCTGCATGTGCTTTGATGGGATGGCTCGTGTAGTGCACTATACGTCCTTTCCTCTAGGAGAGGGAGCAGCAGCAGCCTGAGCCCCTGGACACCACCTGGTATCCAGGGTGGCATCCCAGCCAGGCTAAGTGTTCCTTCCAAACTCAGCTTCCCTGTGCACACAGGGCCCGACTGCTTTCTTGCATCTCAACACCGTCCTCCAGTATAGCTCCCCAATTCTCCACCTTGCCAGGGACCCAAGATAAGCCGGACTCTCATTGGCCTCTTTGCTCTCCCTCCTCAAACAGGTGTGGTCTCATGTTCACACTCGCCACCAATCTGGCCATCTGGATGGCAGCCGTGGTGGATGAATCTGTGCACCAGGCCCATTCCTCCACCAGTTCTGCCAGCAACACCAGCCACACCCGCCTCGCTTCTGACCGTGAGTCCTCACTTGGGATTGATCTTGGCCCCATGACTCCCGGGCCTCAGGCTGGGTGCTCTGTGGATTTGTAGAGTCAGTCTCCTGTGCCCTCACAAGAGAGGAAAGCCTCCTCCTGCTCCAGGCTCTGATTCTGAAGAAATTTAGGTGTAGGTGACCCAGGAGGAAGAGTATCGGGGGCGTCATCTCATCCTGAGGATGCAGCCTTGGTTCCACTGTCCAGGTCTCCATCCCACACCCCATCCCGGAAGGGACTTGGGCTCCAGGATGAAAGGGCAAGGATGATCAAGGTGGAGAGAGGGGAAGGGAGGCAGCATGGTGGCTCGATGGTGGAAGCATGGGATCAGACAGGAGAGCCTGGCAAGCAGAAGCTAGAAATAATAATCATGATGACAATAGTGACAATTTATTGAGCTCTATGTGTCAGGCGCTGTGCTAAGTGTCTTAAACACTCTATCTTACTTAACCCTCACAACTTCCCTATGAGATGTGTACTATTTATATTCTCATTTTACACATGAAGAAACTAAGGCAGAGAGAGGTTGAGTAGTTTGCCCAAGGTTACAGAGCTTGAAATTGGAGAACTAGAATCCATCTTTGCTTTTAACCAATATGCTATACTGAGGAAGAATGGGGTCCACAGTCCCCCTGGTCCTAGTTTTCTGGACTTCTCTAGGGCCCCCCACTAGCTAGGACAAGACTAGATGACTAAGTCCATCTGGACTTGGTCTGAAGACACACACACCCCCAGTATGGGCGAGTCCTGGAACGGAAAGCATGAGCCCAGCCCTCTGGGAGACCCCAGCCCAGCAGGACTGATAAAGGGTCACCTTGCACACACAGAAGGTCTCTGAGGATGGTTGAAACCAACCTGGGGAGGCGGACAACTTAACGTGCTGGGGCCACAGAGGTGCAGAGGGGCATGCTGGAGCAGTACCTGCCCCGGGGTTGGGAGTTAGGTCATTTGCCTTAGCTCTGCCATTATAACACACTTTACCTCATTGAGCCTCAGTTTCTTCATCTGCAAAACCAGCTGGGATAGTCTGTGGATCAAAAGAAATGTTTGCCAAGGTCCAAGGCAACCCACAAAGTGCACTCTGGTGCAGGACAAGATTCCCATCAGTGTGGTGTGAACTGAAGTGACAGGAGGCCATGGTTGAGACCTCAGCAGCAGCCGCTTTCTGGGCTGAGTCAGATGCTGGGGAGAGCTGCGAGGAAGCTTGAATTTTCAGGGGTTCCCAAGAGGGCTGCCTTCTGTCAGGACCAGAGCTTCGCCTATCTCCGGGAGCCTGAGGTCATTACTGGGAGGAGGGATGGGGAGTGTTTTCCTGAAGGAATGGAATGAGATGAAGTGGGCAGTGCTGCAGTTCAGATTTTTTTTTTATGGCTATTGTTGTTTTTACTGGCTATTGTTTACCCACGTGTCCCACAATCTCTGGCATACAGTAGATGCTCAGTAAAAACTTATGGCATGGATGAATGTGCCAGGCCTGTGTAGGCAAATGGGATACAGTGATGAATAGGGCAGACAGAGACCGTGCCCTTACAAAGGTCACAGTCTAGGGGTGAGGTTCTTCAGATGGGGCACCTCCAAGAAGGCGAGAGGGCAGTGCATCTCTGTGCCTCTCTCTCCACAGCAGAGCGTGCGGACAGCCACGTTGGAGGAGACTGCTCGTGCGACACAGCCGTCTGCCAGATCTTCCAGCAGGGCTACTTCTACCTGTATCCCTTCAACATCGAGTACAGCCTCTTTGCCTCCACCATGCTCTATGTCATGTGGAAGAATGTGGGCAGGCTGCTGGCCTTCTCTACCCATGGCCACAGCCACACCCCATCCCGGCTCGGCCTCTTCCGGGAGACCTTTATTGCCGGCCCAGTCCTGGGCCTGATGCTCTTCATAGTAGGGCTGGCCGTCTTCATTATCTATGAGGTCCAAGTGAGTGGGGAGGAGGGCAGCACCCAGCAGGCCCTGGTCATGTACTACAGCTTCAACATTGTCTGTCTGGGGCTCATGACCTTGGTCAGCCTGAGTGGCTCAATCATCTACCGTTTTGACCGCCGGGCCATGGACCACCATAAGAACCCCACACGCACCCTGGATGTGGCCCTGCTGATGGGTGCCGCCCTGGGCCAGTACGCCATCTCCTACTACTCCATCGTGGCCGTGGTAGCAGGCACGCCCAGGGACCTGCTGGGGGCGCTCAACTTAGCCTATGCTCTGCTCATGATTGCCCAGCACATCTTCCAGAATGTGTTCATCATCGAGAGCCTCCACCGGGGCCCGCCTGGGGCCGATTCTCATGATACGCCCCCCAAGGAGCCCTGCCATGGCCTCACCTTTGCCAACCTGGATGCCCTCCACACCTTGCCCTCCTGCCCACCCACCCCCAGGTTGGCTGGCTCCAGCCCAGCAGGCCCTCCAGAAGCAGTGGCCATCATCTCGGCCCCCAAGGGGCACTGGAGAAGCCGGTGCCTGAAGGACATTTCTCTTTTTCTCCTGCTCTGCAACATCATTGTGAGTAACTGGGGGGAGATGGGAGTGGGCTGGGAGGAAGAGAAGGCCAAGGAAAGGTGCTCTTTCAGGTTTATTCACTTGGTCTTCTCTGTCTTGCCCCCAGCCCACTCGAGAATCTTACAGCTCTCTAGGAAAGGAGCAAGTTCAGAGAGGGTCAGGTACAGCCCCCGAGCAAAGAGCATCTCAGGGCACACAGAGAGAGTGAAATCCCAGCGTTCTGGCATCTAGGCAGTGGATGGAGCTGGAGGGGTCCCAGGGAATGCTGACATGGGGGCTGGGCGGAGGTGAGAGGGAGCTGTGAGAGCTGATGTGGAGGGCGGGGGCCCTCACCCCGGGTGGGAGGTGTGACAGCTCCTGGGAACTTGTGACCAGCCTGCTTCTTAGAATAATTGGAGCAGCACCAGGAAGCAGCAGAGACCAGCTCACCAGTAAGTGTGAGCGGTCTGTTAGCAGAGTAGAGCGGCGGGCTGGCAGGGAAGGGGAGCAGCCACAACAGCGGCCCCCTCCCCGGTGATTCAGCAAAGCCCCTTAAAAGAGAAACTCCTCTGTATAGCAACAGACTTCATCCAACATAGACCTGGCCTTCTGCCCAGGCCCGGCCTACAGCCTGGGAGTCACCTTTGGGGAGGCTGTTTTTGCTCCAGGTATCAGGAGTCCTGGATCAACTGCAACTCCTTCTTTTTATAGGACAGAAACAGGCTCAGAGAGGGGCTGTGATGTGCCCAAGGATGCAGTTAATTAGGGGTGGGGAGGGTGAGGCTAGCCTATAGCCTTTTTTCTTTGCCCACACCCCACACCGGAACCTTTTGAGCTCATAGCCAGAGATGAAGCAGGATTCCAGTTCAACCTCCTGCCAGACCTGGGAGGGGGAAGGGAGTGGGAGTGGAGCTGGAGAGCGAAGCTCAGAGAGGGCTGGGGTGGGGTAAGCTTCTGGCTGGATTCTGACCCCCTGCCCTGGGCTTGTCTGATTCAACCACCACCCTGCATATGTCTCCCTAGGAGAGAGCTGCCGATTTAACCATTTGTACCAAATTCTCATGTCATCTGTTGAAACCTCTTCTCCCCTCCCCCATCCCACAAGTGGGCCGTACTAACAGGGTGGGAGATACCATCACAGGGGAGCCCTAGCCTGGGGGTGGGCAAGTTCAGTTAGGCACAATTCCCTAGCTCCTTAGTGAGTGCCAAGCCCCACCCAAGATGCTATAAGTTCCCATTGAGCAACATGCAGCCCTCGCTGTCCACCAAACGAGAGAGCTGGGACCCCCATCCTGTCGCTCTCCAGCGAGGCCAACGGGAATGTCCCCCAGGTGCTAGTCTGGGCCAGGTGCTGACGCGCCCCCTCCCCCCACAGCTGTGGATCATGCCTGCCTTTGGAGCCCGCCCTCACTTCAGCAACACCGTAGAGGTGGACTTCTACGGCTACTCCCTCTGGGCAGCCATCGTCAACATCTGCCTGCCTTTCGGCATCTTCTACCGCATGCATGCTGTCTCCAGCCTGCTGGAGGTCTACGTGCTGTCCTGAAGCCCCCAACAGAGACACGGGGCAGCCCTCGGCTCATGGCACACCCAGAGACGCTCGGGAATGATCCCCAGGCTGGCAGTGACTGCGCCACATTACCACCCTTTCCCCGCTGGCCCCAGAGTGAAATTTTCACAAAAGTTATTTTTCCAGGATGAGTTTTTAAATCACAATCAGGACACACCCATCCACCCCAACATGACCCTGAGGCCTCGGGCCACCGAGGGAGGAAGTCCTCTCCCTCAGCACTTCTAGGACCAGGCAAGAGCTGGAAGTGTCCATGGCTCCGGCTCCACCCCTGATCCCAGCCCTGTGGCCTGGCCAGTGCTGCTGCCTGGAGCTGGGAACCAATAAAGCTGCAGTTCGCCCCCTGTGCCCCACTTCTTGTCTCAGCCGCCCCATCTGAGATGATCACAGGAGAGGTTCTTGGGAGTTGGAGCTAGAAGGGTCCTTGGAGATTTTCAGGCTCAAGCCTTTTGGTGGGTGAGCCAAGTCTGAGTTACAGACCAATTACAGACTAGTGCCTGGGTGGCTGGGAGGGGCCGGACAGAGTACCCAGGCTGCCACCTTCCTCTTCCCTTTATCCTCAAGTGACAAATACATAATTTGTGTGTTCCATGATGCATGAAAGGTTAGGAAGGTGTGACCTAGTTCAACTACCATTTTACAAAGAAGGAAACTGAGGCCCAGGGAGGTAAAGTGACTTGCCCAAGGTCACACAGCGAAACAGCCAGAGCCCTTCTACTAAGAATAATAATTCTCAAACAGCAGAACTTTTTTTTACCTCAAATAAAATATTTTAGGAACTCAAGTTTATAAACAGGGCTGTTCTAGTCTAAGAGGGGTTGGGGGATGCAGATATTCACCTCCCGGGCCTCCTCTTACCCACCACCCCCTTTCCCTGGGAGTCCCTGAGACTCTCCTCCAAAGCCCTAGGGCTTCAAATGTGCAAAAGGTATAGAGGTGGACGTAGCAGAGGGAGAGACTAGAATGTAAGACTGAACAGCGAGATTGAAGAGGAGGCCCCAACAGCTAGAAGAAGAGGAACTGGTGGCCAGCAGAGTCAGGTGAAGCTGCACAGGCTAGGGTGGGCATTGGGGTCGCGGCTGGGGTGGGAGGAGAGCGTGGGAGCAGCAGCATCTGGAGCACAGAGGTTTCAGAAGAAAAGGTGGCTGGACCCTACCAGCCAAATGAGATGGGTGGGTGTCAGAGGCTGCAGGAGGAGCTGAGGAGGGCCAGAGGGGGACTTCCCACCCTATTGGCCTATTGCCCTGTCAGAATGGGGTGTCTTCCCCACTAAGTTCACGTTTGACTTAGGGAGAGAGAAGGCGCTGAGCCACGTGGGGTAGCAGGTTGCTGAGACGCCGCATCCCAGCCTGGTCTTAGGTGGGGTGCAGGAAGAGGCGACGCCAGACCTGGGGGCCATGTCCATTTTCTGCTTGGCCGCCAGGGGAAAGTGTGGCTCGAATCCCGCAAGGCTTTTTCTGTGAGCCTAAGGACATTGCACCCCACCCCTCCCCACCCCACCCCAGAGGCGGCGGGCCGCCAGCAGGTCCCCGGACCCTGAGGCTCTGAGCCTGCTCCGCCTCCGGCCCCGCCCGCCCGTCTTCGCTATTGGTTGCACCGTCCGGGCCAGAGCCCCCGGAGGGGTAATTAACGAAAGATTAATGAGCTCCCCAAAGTCAACAGAAAAATCGATGGGCCGGAGGAGGAGCGGCGGCTGCGCAGTCCCGCGGGGGGAGGGCGTTGGGGGCATCGGTCGGGGCGCAGGGGCCTCACCTGGACAGAAGATCCGCGCTGCGCCGCAGTCGGTGGTGAGCCGTCGGCAATGTCTGCCCAGGCCTCAGGTAAGGCTGCCCGGTAGCGCCATTAGGGCTGGGAGCGCCCTCGGACCGCTGGAGGAACATTGCCGGCGAGCCCACACTTGACACTCACACCTACTTCCCCCGCAAAGTGAGGCAAGGACTAGGGGCTGCAGGGATTGGAGCCGGAGGGCGGGATGACAGATGGGAAGCCAACCCCGGTGACCCGAACCCTGGCCCCTCTCTGCCCCCCACCTCGACCCGGCTCTGCGCCCCACCTCCTTTCCGCGGATGGTGGCACACAAAGGTCAGCAGGGCGCGCCCCTCCACTAGCCGGATCCCGGCGCGCACAGCCGAAAGAGGGCGCTGAGGCCAGGAAAAAACGAAAAACCCGGACGGCTGGGAAAAGGGGTGTGGGGTTGGGGCAGCCTGGAGGCCCGGTCTGTGGCATACTGCCCCAGGCCCCGCAGTCCCTCGAGTGGCTCAGAAAGAAATCCCGAAGCTCCTGGCCGGCGCTCAGCAGCCTCCTCCGGAGCTGGCCCTGCGCTCCTGGCCAGGTGCTGCGCCCTGACGGCACCCCAGCTTTCATCACCTGCCTCTAACAGCAACCTACAAACCAGTTTGGTGTCCGGGCCCTCACTGGGGCTGGCGTTGCACCGAGAGGCGTACTGGACGGAGGGCGGTGGATTCCTCCTTGTCAGTTCCGGGTGCCCTCGCCCTCTTCCCGAGACCCCTACAGTGCCCACCCCGGCACCCTCCCCCTGGGCGGACCAATCCGCCACTTTCGGGCTCCCTCTAGAGGCCGTTGGAGGGTTGGCCCCCCGGGGGTGGCCGGCGGGGAAGATAGTAAGGGCGAGGAGCCGGGAGAGAGAGTACCTGGAACCTTGTCCTTCCGTGTCCCCTGTAGGCTTGCAGTCCTAGCAAAAACCGCCCCTGGAATTCCCCAATAATCTTGACCCTTCCAGCCTCTCCAGGACCTCGAAAGAACTGGAAGGAAATGCACAGATAGCTAACACTAAGAGCTTTCTTTGTGCCAGACACTGATCCACATGCATTTACATAAATTAAATCATTTAATTTTGACAAAACCCCTATGAGGTAGGTATTATACATTAATTCCTTTGCTTATTCGTTCAAGAAATTTTTATTGACCATCTGTCATGCACCAGGCACTAAACCATAGTTGTACATCCGTTTTACAGATGAGGAAACTGAGGCACAGAGAGTCTAAGTAGCTTGTCCAAGATCACACAGGTAGTAAGTGCCAGCATCTGGGCTCTTAATCATTAGGCTATCCTGCCTTGAGAGGACAGGGAGATGCTGGGGAAGGCGAGATGGAGCAGTCACAGTTGGGAGAAAAGGAGCAGGGAGGTGTCCTTGTGAGCCTCAGCCTTGCTCAACCTGGGTGGGGGAGCCTGGGAGGAAAGATTAAGATCAATCTGGAAAGTCTCCTGGGCTAGGCCAGGATGGAAACGTTTAATGGGAAAGGTCTCTGTCCATGACTCTAGTGCTGAAAGTTCCCGGGAAAATGCCGAGTCAGTTGGCAAACACTGGTTGAATGTCATGCCTGTGCCAAATTTGGGGGTCTGAGTTAAGCTCCTCTGCCCTGGAGAAGCTCCTGGCCTTGAGGGGAGCCAGCCACACTCACAGCACCTCACCGGACAGTGCACTCCCACTCTCAATAGATGCTGGGGCAGAAAGAGAAGGCTTCCCAGGAGAGGCGCTTAAGGTGGGTGGGAAGGATGAGTGAGAGCCATGGTGGAGGTTAGCAGGCGAGGCAGAAAGAACAGCAGGCTCCAGGAGCGATGGCTGGAAGCATGAGATCATGCTAGAAATGTGGAGCCGTCTGGCTGGGCCTGGACGGACGTGGGGGCAGGTGCCTGGAGTGTGATGAGAGGGCTGGACAGGGAGAGGGCAGAACTGGAGCAAGGATGACAGGGAGGACTGGGAAAGAGGGGGAAGGGGAATCATTTGTAGAATCTTTAAAAGAGGATCAAGTTTGATTATTCCACTTACCCCAGAAGAGAATAGTAGAAGACATAAATATTGCGCAGGTTGCACGTGGGAGAATGGGAGGCTGGAGAATGGGAGGCTGCATTTTAGAGCCAGATGAGAGAGGGTCTTCTGGTGGTTACACAGAGGGAGAGTCTGAAGCTCAGAGTTCAAAGGGAGAGACAGAGCAAAGCAGAACTAATTAAAATAGAGCACGATGCTGCTGCAACAACCAGCATGGAGCTCAGCGGGGTACCAAGAGGGACACCTAATCCAGCCTTGGCATGGGGATTCAGGGGAGGCTGCTCAGAGGAGGTGGGGCTCTGCTGAGTCCTGAAGGACAAGCTCCAGTCAGCCAAGGGGCAAGGGGGTGGGCACTGTGGGCAAAGGGTGGGGTGTGGGCAGACAGGGAGGTGAGCAAAAGCAGGGGCATTCTGGGAACTGCAGCAGGATGGCACGGCCCGTGGGCAAGGGAGTGGGGTCTGAAGAAGGTGCTGGAGATGTAAGTCGAGGCTAGACCAGGAAGCCACAGCAGCTACCCTGCTTGGAGCACTTTATGCTCCAAGCACACACTGAACATTCACTGCCTTGTTTCATTTTGAAAGGCCATGCTAGGTAGTTTGGACTTTACACTGAGGGCAATTGGTTGCCTTTGCAGGGCTCACAGTATGAGAGAGGCACAATGGGCAGGGAGACCAGTCCAGGAGAGAGAGAAGGGGCCCTTGGCTATGGTAGTAGTTGAGGTCAAGAAAAATCTAAGAGCGGTTTGGGAGCTGGAACGGACAGGCTTGAGGCCTGAGAGAATCAGAGATGAGGAGAGAGACAAGGACAGCTGGTCCCCTGCTGGGAGATGTGGGAATGGAGACGCCACTCACTGAGATGGTGAACTTAGGGAATGGGCCTCCTACAACCTGGAGAAGGAGGACAGTGCGCACTTGGAACCCTGAGCTCAGAGCACTAGGGATGCAAGGACAGTGGCAGGACCAAAGGAGAGCGCCCGGGGTGGCAGAGGGTGGCAAGGGAGCCTCCGAGGTCGCTCAGGAGAAGCCTCCCCACCAGGACAGCACCCAGAGCCAGCGGGGCTGTCTAGCTCTCTAGTGCAGCTCAGTCCCACAGGAATGAGTACCCAAAGGGCCTACAGGAGGAGTGTGCTGGCCTCCAGGCCAGGTCCCTGAGCTGCAGGGATAGGAAGACCCAAGATCAGGGTCCAACAGAGGGGTGACAAAGGGGTGGCCTGAGTGAAAGCTTGGGGAAGTTGAGGAAGTAGCAGGAGACATTCAGGGAAAGAAAAGAGTCAAGGATGGTGTTCCCCATGTTGTGCTGGGCGTTATGGGACATCTAGGGGTCGCGGGCAGGGTGCAGATGGAAGTCAGTCTGTCACAGTCAAGGGCATGGCATTCATGCTGATCCCAACCTCTCCCAGGCAGACATTGCAAATCAATCCCAGAACTTTTCCCCTAAACCTTTAATGTGCATTAAAATTAATTTTGATTATGTAAGTAATGTTAATTACATAAGTAGTGTTAAAAAAAAAAAAAAAAACTAGAACATTAAACCACTCCCAGTCCTAGTACCTTCCTCCCTTCCCCAGAAGAAAATCCTGTTGTAAATCTGGTGAGTATCTTCTAGACCTTTTAAAAGTAATTTTTTATACACACTTTTGTGCCCATAATAGAGTATTATCTCAGATCACAGCATTCTTTCCCACCAAGCCCACATTCAGCCTCAGGATCCTTCTCAACACAACTCTCTAAGCAATCATTACCCAACTAATCAGAGTCAGAACAAGAGAGGACACCCACTTGCTCCCCCTGACTTCAGGAGCGAAATTCCTCCCAGAAGTCAGCAGGGCACAGCTGCCTTTTAGTGGCAAAAAGTCACAGCCCAGGGAACTGCCCAGTGGCCAGGCACTATGTGGTTGCCCCTGGCTCCCTTGACAGATATTATTATTCCACCTTGGGACCAGGCACTGAGACAGGAAGCTGGGCAGGGAGGGGAGGTGGTCCTCAAGCCAGTCAAAATAATCCCTATGTTTATGCGGAGCACAAGGGGTTTCCATATTCCCTGCTCTGTTTGAATCTCCTCAGGTCCTATAATGTAGATGGGGCAGTTGCTGTTATTTCCAAAGTCCCAACCAGAGAGGTTGCATAGTTTGTCCTAGGTCACACAGCAGTTAGGGTCAGGAGTGGGACTGAACCTAGGACAGCCTGGCAACCAACCAGGACCCCTTCTCCCTCCCCAGCCCCTACTGAGGCTCCACCGGTGGCCTCTCTAGAAGCACAGGAGACTGGACCAGCCCCAGCCAAAGAGAACCAAGTGGAGATGGGGGCTGAGGAGACGGGGGCCCCTGCCTCGCCCCACCAGAAGTCCTGGCTGGTGCGGCATGTCTCCCTGCTGCTGCGGCGGGACCGGCAGGCCCAGAAGGCCGGGGAGCTCTTCTCGGGGCTCCTGGCCCTCAACGTGGTGTTCCTGGGCGGAGCCTTCATCTGCAGCATGATCTTCAACAATGTGGCCGTCACGCTGGGCGACGTGTGGATCCTGCTGGCTGTGCTGAAGGCCCTCTGCATCCTCTGGCTCCTCTACTACGCCACAGGCACCACCCGCCGATCGCACGCTGTGCTCTTCCGTGACCCTCACGCGGGACCCATTTGGGTGCGGGGTGAGTGTCGAGTGCTGGGTAGATGGAGAGGGTGGGGAGGGACAGCCCAGTCCAGGGGAGGTGCCAACGGCCCCCTGGCCTGGCCAGGCTCCCTGGTGCTCTTTGGCAGCTGCACCGTCTGCCTGAACGTCTTCCGCGTGGGCTACAACGTGAGCCACATCCAGTGCAAGTCGCAGCTGGAGCTCATCTTCCCTGCCATCGAGATCGTCTTCATCGGTGTCCAGGTGACAGGCCTCTCCCATCCGTGCCACCGGGCACACACTCCACCTACCCATGCTATGCGCACACACACGCTGACCTGTGCCTAGAAACAGCCACATAGGCAAATACCTACATGGCCCAGGGTGTGTACACACTACCACAGCTCCTCCACAAATGTCTGCCTCCCGTACCCACATCCACACATACTTGCATATACCTGCATCAGCGCACACACCATGTCACCGAAATGCAGACTATTAATACATCTGCCTGTACATACTTGTATATGCCTAAATCTGCAGCCCAGATATGCAGAGCTACTCACAGCAATGGATATCCAACTCCCTCCTGAGCTCCTGTTCTGTACCGGGCACTGTGCTAGGTGTTTCATCTGCATCGTCTTCTTTATTTTCCCAAAATAAACAGGGACTGCCCTGAGAGGTAAGCATTTTAGCCCCATTTTAGAGCCAAAGAGACTGAGGCCCAGAGATATTTTGCCACTGGCCCAAGACCACACAGCAAGGAAACAGTGGAGCCAGGATTCCAACCCAGGCTTCCTCACTGTCTTTTCCATTGTAAATATCTACACGCAACTGGGGCACAGCCCACGGTCCCACCCCGCAGCCCCTGGGCTCAAGGCCTCATCTCTTTCAGACCTGGGTGCTCTGGAAACACTGTAAGGATTGTGTTCAGGTCCAGACCAACTTCACTAGGTAAGATGGGGACCCCTTCTCTTTCTCTAACAACTACAGCTTCCCTGGACAGGGTGGCCCTGGGGCTGTGGGTTAGTCTGGAAAAGCATCCCAGGTAGCCCCGGGCTGCCTTTTCTGAAGTCCTAATGCCAGATGAGATCTGGCTTTGGGAGAGAATGGTTGCCCTAAAAGCGGTCATGGTGAGGTTCGGGTCCCCGGGGAGCCGGCCAGGCTGTGTGGGCAGAGTACGGCACCTCCTCCAGGTGTGGCCTGATGCTGACCCTGGCCACCAACCTGCTGCTGTGGGTTCTGGCCATCACCAACGACTCCATGCACAGCGAGATCGAGGCCGAGCTCAGCGCCCTCATGGGGAAGCTCTCAGGTACAGATGAGCCCAGGACCCCCCCACCCGCAATATGTGCACACACATACACACACACCCCTGCGCACGCCCCCTCATGCCATGCTCCCTCAAACAGGTGAGGCTCGGTAAGGCTCTAGAGTTGGGAGCAAACTCTAGAGGCCAGATCATGACGAATCAGAAAACTGACGTCCTGCTCCCATTCTGTGCCTGCCTCATCAGGGGCTGGCACCCTGCAGCCTGCTCCAGGCATCCATCTAGCTGTCAGCAAGCTAGCCACTAATCCTGGCTGAGCTAGTCACTGATGAGTCCAGCTATGCACCCCACCCCTGGTATTTGCATTTTACTTTCAAGAAACTAAAAAGCCTTTAGGACTCAAAGGAATGTTTTCCTAACACAGTTGTAGGTACCTGGACATATCAAGAGGGACAGGAGATTTCTGGGTAGAAAGAACTCCCCGCACTGTCCCGCATGCCCAATCCCCGCCTGTACAGTCTGGCCCTTAGAGGCGGTATCCCAGAAACCTTCGTGGGAACATTGCTGTCTGTGGGACTCAGCCACACCTGGATGTATTCAGCGCCCCCCCCAGGTGGCATCACCATCCTGACCTGTGTACAGCCAAGCCCTCCCAGCACAATCATGCATTTACACACCCACTGCATAAATCATGGCACTCCTGTGGACTGTGGGCATTCTTTATGCTCCAGACATTTTTCAGAAGAGCCATGCAAAGAGAATTTTTGGCTAGTGACTTCATGGATTCTTTTATTATTAGAAAATTCAAACATTCATATAGATGAGTGGAAGAACAAGATCTATCCATCACCCAGACATAATCATTATTGACATTTTGCAACATTTATTTCTGTTTTTTTGCTGAGTTATTTACATTACTGAGATCATGGCATTCATCTCAAAACATTTCAGTATGCATCTCTTCAAAGTCAGTGTATTACCTTACACTACCACAATGCTATTATAATTTCCAACAAAAGTCCTTAATATCATCGCCACCCTCTTTATCCATCTATACTCAGCTTTCTGCAGTAAGCTAAGTATCTAAGTCTCTTTTTTCCTAATGACATTGAGACTTGTCAGGCTGCTTCCTTGTGGTGGCATTTGAGCTGTTGCCCTCTCCCCTGCTTTTCCTAGAAACTGGCTGTAGAGACTAAAGTCTTGACCAGATTCAGGTTGAGCGTTTTTGGTGCTGGCATTCCACGGGTGATGCTGTGTGCTTTGCAGGGCACCTCATTGCAGGGCAAGGTGTCTGATTACCCCACTGCACATGCTGCTGAGGGTCCAGGTATAGCAGCCAGATCCTCCCATTATAAAGTTACAGGTCTCCCCTTGTGCCCAAAAAGTAACCTGGAGAGTAGAGGTGGCATTTGGCACCAGAGACATCATGCATTAAATGCTTTACATAAGCTTGGCACCTGAAGTCTTGAATCCCTTTGTAAAGGAATGATCATCCTGTGATTTCTGATTTCTATCGCTGGGCCTCAGTTCCCATATCTGTAAAATGGGTAGCTGGGTCCCTTCCACCTCTGGCATTCTCCAGAAGGTGAATGGGACTGACTTGTCAGCTGGTTTCCTCAGAGCAAGGCCCACCTGCACGTCTGTCCCCTCTCGCCCTGCCCCCTCCCAGGCAATGAGACCAATACCTGCCTGTGCCTCAACGCCACAGTGTGCAAGGTCTTCCAGAAGGGCTACCTGATGCTCTACCCCTTCAGCACCGAGTACTGCCTCATCTGCTGTGCTGTGCTCTTTGTCATGTGGAAGAACGTGGGCCGCCGCCTGGCACCCCACACAGGCGCCCACCCCGGCACCCTGCCCTTCTGCCTGCACGGGGCCATCTTCGGGCCACTGCTGGGCCTGCTGGTGCTGGTGGCAGGCGTGTGCATCTTCGTGCTCTTCCAGATCGAAGCCAGCGGCCCCACCATCGCACACCAGTACTTCACCCTCTACTATGCCTTCTACGCGGCCGTGCTGCCCGCCATGAGCCTGGCGTGCCTGGCGGGCACGGCCATCCACGGGCTGGAGGAGCGAGAGCTGGACACGCTCAAGAACCCCACCCGCAGCCTGGACGTGGTGCTGCTGATGGGCGCAGCCCTGGGCCAGATAGGCATAGCCTACTTCTCCATCGTGGCCATCGTGGCCACTCACCCCCACAAGCAGCTCAACCGCCTCATCCTGGCCTACTCGCTGCTGCACATCCTGCAGCACATCGCCCAGAACCTCTTCATCATCGAGGGCCTCCACCGGCGCCCGCTCTGGGAGGCAGCTCCCGAGGGCCTGGCGGGGAAGCAGGAGGCAGGGCCACCCCGTAGGGGCTCCCTGCTGGAGCTGGGCCAGGACCTGCGGCGGGCCTCGCGCGCCTATATCCACTCCTACAGCCACCTCAACCACAAGCGGCGGGCGCTCAAGGAGATCTCGCTCTTCCTCATCCTCTGCAACATCACAGTGAGTGGTGGGCGGGAGGCGTGGGGGCAGAGCTGGCCAGGCAGCCCCAGAAATCCTCGAGGGCTCAGGAAGGAACGGATCAAGGCGCATTCATTGCATATTGACTGTCCCAAGAGCGACTGGCTTGTCCCTTTGATTGCCAAGGACACATGCCCGTTTCCAACTAGCTCACTGCTACTTGAGAACAGAGTCCCCCAGCTCCCTGCAAAGTGCCTGGCATGAATGAATGTGCTAAGTGTGGAGCTAAGTGCTCTTTACAAATAACCATGTAAGATTTCTACCCTCAGGAAGATTCCTGTCTAGTTGGGGAGACACTGGGGGACCAATTAGAAAATTACCAAATAATTAATCATCCACTGAATTCAAAGAAAGAGATCAGAAAGTGCCTGGTTTTCTAAAGGCTCTCTAGTGGAAGGTGTTGACGACAATTGCTCAGTGTCTGGCGGCTGCTAAGCCCCAAGTCTACCTCCCTATGTAATAGCTCCCCCCTCGCTGGATCATCACGGCAACCCCATGCAACAGGCACTATTAATGTCCCTCTTTGACAGATGAGGAAACTGAGGCTTAGGTTGTTTGACCTGCACACGGTCCCATGCCCTGGGACCAGTCAGGGTTGTCTGAGCCCATGTTGGTAACGACTGCTCTGGAAACACCTCAGGTGCTGAAACCTCTGGCCCCGGCAGAGCATCAGTAATAAATTGGCCCTAAAGTGCAGTAGGAGCTCAGAGAAGGAAGCATGGGCCCAAGTGGCCAAGGAAGGCTCCATGAAGGTTTGATCTGGACCTCGAGAAATGGGCAGAATTTGGACAGAAGGCGAGGCTGGGGTGGAGGGTGCAAAGAGTCATAACTAGCAGGAGAATGAAGCTAGAGCAGAAGGCGGTTGAGGTCAGGGCCCAGGGAAGCCCAGCTTGATGGGGCAGGCTGTACCATGCGTGGTGGCAGCCCACGTCTCATGATCTATCTGGAGGTCAGGCTGGCCCCAGGCAAGCCAAGAAGTGTCTGAGGCCTTCTGCTGTAGAGGGGGAACATGGTGGGAGAGGGGCTGGCCCCAGGGTGAGGGGATGCTAGGTTGGGGGATGTGCTGGAGGAGCTGCAGGTTCTGGGGCCTGCCTCCGCTGAGCTGAAGGCCTTGGGGCATGGGAGAGCCCCCTGCCACTCAACGCCCTCCTCTCCTCCCCAGCTGTGGATGATGCCCGCATTTGGGATACACCCAGAGTTTGAGAACGGACTGGAAAAGGATTTCTATGGCTACCGGACATGGTTCACCATCGTCAACTTTGGCCTGCCGCTGGGGGTCTTCTACCGCATGCACTCTGTGGGGGGGCTGCTGGAGGTCTACCTGGGGGTCTGAGGCTGCCCAAGGAACCCACCCCCGGCAGAACCTCAAAGTGCCAAGGCTGGGGGGAAGGTAGCCCAGAGCATTCCAGGGCGCCCTGGACCAGCCTGGGCCCCCCAAAGCCTCCCCCTCCCCAACGCCTCACTGAGATGGGAGGGCACTGTCTGCAGCCCAAGACCAAGGGCAGCGTCTGGACACTCAGCTCCTGATGCCCACACCCAGGACTGGGCACACGCCTGCCCCCCGCTTACCACCACAATCAGAACTACCCAGGATGCACCTCAGGAGGCCCCCCACAGCTACTCTCTAGGAGGGTCAGTCCTAAATAACTGAGTCTGGGGAGTTTGGAGAGGGGAGCCCCTACCCAGCCAGGCCTCAGTGGTCTGCCTCCTACTGTGGGAAGGGCACACGGTCCAAGCCCAGCCCAGGACATCCTGGGAGCTTGAAGCTCAGCAGACAGCCCTGCTCCTCCCTCCCCACACGCCCTGTCTCCTAATGAGCTCATTAATTAGCTGCCAGGCAGGGTTCAACAGCTGTCTCCCTCTGCCATAAACCCTGTTTGTTTGATCGATTACATTCGGGCTTCGTGGCATTTGTTCCCAGGAACGGAGCTGCCACTCCGGGTATGGTGGGAAGGGGCAGTCCTCCTGGGCAGGGCTATGGGGCTGGGACAGCCCCGTTCTGAGTCAGGAAGGGCCTAAACCAGTCCTTCCCTTGTCTGCTACACGGGAGGAGGTGGAAGAGAGGGGCTGGGGCTCTCATCCCCCGCCCCTCGCCAGCACACCTTCCCCTCAGGACAGAGCACCAGGTAACCTTCTGCAGCTGGCTCACCACAGGGGCTGTAGCATCTGGCTGACCAGTCCCCAGGCCTGCTGGATTCTCTGAGCCATCAGGTGGAGAGGGCAGGCACTGACAGCCCATTCATCTCCTGGAGCCCAGTGCAAACAGTGGGCTGTACCCAGAGAGAGGCCCACGGTGAGGCCCAGGCAGGGCAGCACTGGCCCCTGCAGGCCAGGCTTTCATGAAGCTAGGCACTGGCAAGCACAGGGCCATGGACCCAGAGACCCCCATACTGTCTCAAGTGCTGCCTGGAGCCATGCAGGAGGCTGGGAGGCAGGCCCCTCGCCTCTCCTGCGTGGGCTCTTCATCTGGGTGGCCACAGCCCAGAGGGCCAAACCCTGGGTGAGAGAGTCCAATTCTCCACTTTTACCCAAGAAAATGACAAATGCCAGTTCCCAGTCATGCGCTGAGGGCCCTCTGGGGACTGCCTCTGGGAGGCAGAATCCCCAGCTCCACTGAAGCCAATAGCCATGGCCTGACCCCCTCCCCTCCAAGCACAAAGAGCCAGGGCGTGGAGAGGAGAGTTTTATTGTGTAAGAGATTGTACAGAGCAAAGATTGTACTGACACAGGTAGGTTGAGGGAGACCCAGAGGCCAGAGCCAGCAGGACGGAGGGGTGGCCTCCTGGCCCCCCTTCCCCCAGTCATCCAGGCAGTGGGCGGGGGCAGGGAGGACTGTACAGCTGCCCTTGCTCTCCTCATTCCTTTCCCCCCGTTACTGGATAAGAAGGAGCCAGCTATATCTATATCCATTGACCTGGGAGAATATAGCAGGAGACCCTCAACACCCTACTCCAAACCCCTAAAATGCATGAGCTCCCCTAGTCTGGCTTTTGCAGTCTGCCAGCCCCCAGCCTCCTCCTCGAGCAGCCTGGCCACGCTCCTTCCTCCCACGCCCCTTCCTCCCGCGGGCCCTGGCAGCTAGCCAGGCCTGACCAGGTGATTTCAGGTTGGGAGGGTTGGAAGGGCTCCCCTCACCCTGCCCAGGTGCCACAAGGGGTGGCCCAAGGCTCCCTCTTGGGCAACCCATTTGGGCATAGTGACCTGTGGCATCTGGGTGTGGGCAGCACAGGGGCTGGGTGGGGACTGAGGGGCAGCACAGAAAACAGGTCTTGAGGGGGAGCAGAGTGAGATGGGGGCTCGGGCTGGGGCCTGCAGCCCTGGAGACGAGAAGCTCCTGTGAGTCCAGCCTAGTCGGGGGGGCAGGTCAGAGCTGGTCCCCACTGTCCCAGCCACAAGGGGCCTCCAGGGCCTGCTACCCAGGACTCGGCCACTCTGCCAGCCACCAGCCCTGATCGTAGTCATTTAAAGCTCAGAACGGTGGGTTGGGGGAAGCATCAGAAGGACAAGGGCCCCCGCCCTCCCCTGGTCCCTGCCCCTTGCAGGCTTCCATCCTCATACTCGCTGTATCTCAAATAGCTTCACGTCGGTGTCGTACCAGACAGGTGGGTCCACATTCCTGCAGAGGGAGTGGGCTGTCACCCAGGTGCTGCGAGGCCTTGTCAAAAGACTGAGGAGGAGCTAGGCGGAAGCCCAACCCCTTCCACCCTGATGTCCCACCCCGGGCAGTGGGTGCCCACCCTCAACCAGACAAGGCCACCCTGGTTGACTGTCTTGACATTAAGCCCACTACGAGGTGGGACCCAGAGCCACGACCCCCGCTGAGCACCACTGGGCAGACCCTCAGGTGGACACCAGACCCACTGAGGCTGGTAACTGTACCCCCACCCCGCGGGGCCCACCTCAGATAGATGACGCCCCACATGTAGGTGCGGAACCACATGGCCGTGCCCGAGTTGGCCTGGTACTTGCGGATGAGGATGGGGTGGGGCACGGGCAGCAGCCCCACCAGGGTACCGTGCTGCAGGAACCTCAGGATCTCCGACTCGTCTGTCAGGCCCCTGCCAGGGAGAGGGGTGTCTCCAATGTGATCACGTGGGAAAGCCCACCCTGAAGATCAAGGGGAACATGGGGCTCACCCTGCACCCCAGATGCCCATGCTCACGGTCTCACCCCCACTCAAGCCTGGGTGGGCCCCTCCTCAGAGCCCACCTGCCCACCCCTGCCCCCAGCCTCACTTGTCAATGCAGATCTTCTCCACCTGGGGAACCAGCACCTGGAGCAGCCTCATGATGGTCTGCAGCGGAAGCTTGGACTTCCAGGAGAGGACCTGGGGGAGGGACCGGGGCTCCTGGGGCTGGGAAAGCAGCCCCCAGGGGCTATGGGACAGGCCTGAACCATGGGCTCCCCACAGCAGGCAGCGTCCCCACCTACCACAGCAAGGGCCTGGCATGGGGCAGTGCCCAGGAACAGTGATCTATTCACAGTCAGGGCCTCGCACTGAGCACGTACGGCATGCCAGAAACTGTCCCCTTTACGCTCACAATGGCATGGTCAGGGAGGGACGTTAATTACCCCACACAAGTGCAATTAGTGGTGATCTCAGGAAACATATAAGGGAGTGGGCAAGTGATTCGGGGAAGGAAGCTGGAAAGGGTGATTTATTAAGAAAGTTAGCACTGTGGACAAGTGAAGCTTAACCCTGCAGGAGAACTTTGGACAGTGTAGACACAGGAAGCAACTGAGCCAGAGAGAGGCCAAGGTCACCTAGCTAGAAGGACTGACTGACCCGAGCCTGGCTCCCAGGCCAGTCCTTGGACTTGGACACATTCCCATCCGAGCCTTTGCTGACCTGTTCCTCGAGCCAGGAGCCCCTGACCCGCCCCTCCTCCGTGCCATCTGCCCGAACCCTCACCCACTCCGATGTTGGGCTCCACTGCCCACTGGCTGACGAGTTGGATGGTCGCCGCTGTTCCCGCCACACCTGGCTGGGCTCCTGGTTCCCAGGGGAAGGAATAGGAGTGAGGGGTGGAGGGAGTAGGTACAGGGTGGGGACCGAGGGCAGAGAAGCATCCCCTCTTCCCAGTCCCTCCCCATTCTGGAACCTGGGAGGGCAATAAGGTCTCTCTACTGGCCCATGTTGGTGGGGGGGCTCACTCCCAACGGAGGGGACAGCCCAGCCCAGCCCAGCACCCTTTGCCCTGCGCCCCAGGCCCTGCCCAACCCAGCCCAGCCCAGTGACAGGTTTAGGGCCCGGGGCTGACTGGGCAGGCGGGTAAAGGCCAGCCCAGCCTCAGATAAGGGTGATGGATGAGGTGTCTGAAGACCAAGGGCTTGAGCTCCTGACCAGTAAACAAGGAAGGGGTACGTAAAAGCCTCCCCCGAAAATCAGCAGTGCCCACCCTGATGCCCTGGGCACTACGTGCCTACCCCTTTACCACAGGTGACCCCAGAGTGCCCTGGCCCAGCCCACACCCTGGAGGCCAGGGAGAAAGGGAATGCCCAGCCTCACACCCCTCCAGGAGTCCCAGTCGCCCACCTCCACAGCTGGGCTGCTGTCTGCTGAGCTCTGTTGGGACGCAGGCTCCAGGGATCGCAAGGTGCCATCCTCTGACACCTGGGACTTCTCTGTCAGCTTGTCGATGCCTGGGGCAGGGGCCCCAAGTGGGTGTGAGGACACCTGCCAGACACCAGCTGGAAGAGCCTCCCTCTTTCCTCCACCCACTTAAGAGATGCTGTGCCTGATCTCCCCACACCCAGCCCCGAGGCTCGGTCCCCCCGCCAAGCTCCCCCTCCTGGGCCCCCTCAATACCTCCAGCCCCACCCCTATTGCCCATCCCCATCCCCTCAGCTTCCCAACTCAGGCCATGCCTTTGCCAGAGATGGGGGTGACACTCCAGGGACCCAGCCCATCCCCCAACCATGCCAGTACCCACACCCCCCTGCCACCTGCCAGCGCCAGACCTGGGGTGGCCACCAGGCTGGTCTTGAGGGTGCCTGGCTCGGCAGGGGCGGCAGGGCGGGAGCCCTCCATGGAGGCGCCCTCCTGCGAGCCAGTGCGGGACAAGGGCTCCGGTGTGCGTCGCCGCCGCTGCAGCGCCTTGTGGATGGCAGGCGGGTCGGTGGGCAGGTTGGCCAGCTGGTGGAAGACACTGCGCTTCCGGATGATGGCGTAGACCAGGTTGGAGTTGCCTGTGGGGAGGGACGAGCCTCGCCTCAGGGAGGCCCCCACACCTCCTCCTCCAGGAGGCGGACTTCCTGGGAGGGGGAGTTGGGAGGACCGGGGAGCATCTATCCCAGGGGAGGAGCTGGTAAGGGGCACCCAAGACAGGGGGCCAGGCAGACGCGGTGTGGCCACTGTAGCTCTCCCAGGATGTTCAGAGCTTCTGGCTCAGCTC